CATAGTGAGATTCTTCTGGAGCTGACCCTTGGTTTGAATCCGATAATGAACCCAAAAAATTCTGCAGTGGAAGAGCTCTCTGATGGTTATATGTAAGATGAAGAGAACCTGTTTTGGTGATTCCGTCGTTTAACTTTAAATTTCAGTGTTTTCTTCTTTTCTTTTTCTGGTTTTTTTTTCTTGGGTATGTTCTTGAAAGGGTGACTTTGCCTTCTTTTTGTTTTTTTGGGCTAAACATAAATAAACATCACCAAAACTTGATACACACCAGAAAAATAATTCTCAGCACTACACCCATTATTTAGAAAACTATGCACACAAATTTGCGTTTCGTACCATCATTTGTGACTTCTAATGATGAGTTTAGACTTTCTCCTCGATTGTATCTAACAAGATTTGCATCTCATACCATCATTTGCGTCTTCTAATTATGAGTCTAGACTTTCGCCCCAATCTTGTCCTACAAGATTTGATTTCAGGTCGTTATATTACTTTAGTTATTGATAGGCTCGCAAAATTGACTTCATTGAGTATTCATTCATGGAATTTTTTGATTAAAATATAAATATGCCAATGCTGTCAACTTCTCAACCAACTAGATCGCTGGTGTCATGTCATCGTACAGTGATTCGTAAGTTACACAAATTTTATCAGACTTTTCAGACATGTCTTTTTCACTCTCTCTCTCTGTAGCAATGCTGTATTTTCCTCCCTCAATGATGGTGAATCTAACTCTGGTAAAAGACTTCTATATTAACCTTAAATTCTTGTTTATGAAGTCAGCCATGAATGCTTTCATGGAGATTGTACCAATTAGTAGAGTTGGTGTTTTGGTTGTGAGTGTCAGAAAAAGTGACGGAAGTGAGGTCAGTCTGCATACAAGTCACGTGGATTGCATGCAGGGTGTTTGGACAGCTGCTGTTCATGCAATGGCCCTAGTGGTTTGGAGTTGCCAAATTTCAGCTGCTTTTTGTACACGGACATGGTGAGTGTGCCCCATGAATTTCGGGCTTTTCTCGAATGCCATTTAAACTCAATTTGATAGCTTAATTATTTATAAATATTAAATTAATAGTAAATTTTATTATTTATTAAAATTTACTATCAATTTGATAATGGGTAATGTTATTGAAATCAAAAAAATTAATTTTATTTATTAGTATAATAATATGTCAAGTGATAGAGTCTTAATATAAAAAAATTCAATAGTTACAATCACAAAAATATTATTAGGCCATATTACTGTCATATCATTCGGTCAATTTTTAAGTTTCAATAGTAATACTTTTTAATAATTATGATAAATTATGTTAATAAATTATGTCACATCAGTATTATTACTTATGCGAAAGCATAAGCAGTCTTTGGCATTCCTTTCCTTCTCTTCATTTCTTTTTTTTTTTTTGGTATTTTTTTGTAAGGTAAACTTGTATGTTAATTTTAGAAGCAAAATGTACAAAGAGAGGATAGTACCCTCCATTCAAAATCACGTATCACTTCCACCAACAGTGACATCCAAGCACAAAGCAAAAGACTTGACCTCAAGAACTAATAATTCTGAGAAAAGTATTAGCCTTGAGCCAATACTTTTCATAGAATCAAGCTTCTAGGAGGTCAGTGATTACAAAAAACAGATGAGTTGTAGACGACCCCAGTAATTCCCTTTGTAATCATTAGGGTTCATAATTGAGTTCAGTTTTGTGAGTTTGAGTCAAGTTTGTCGAGTTCATTTTTTTAAACTAGCTTAATAAATTGTTCAACCTCGACTCGTTTAAAAAATGGGCTGAACTTGAACTGAGCCTGAGTAACTCGATTATTTTATATATAAACAAGTCGAGATTTATGACTTCGAGTAGAGAGTCTTTTATACTCATTTTTTTAATAAGCGTAATAGATTATTCAAGTTCGATTCATGTAGTACACGAGCCGAATTCGAGTTGAGCCTAAATTGAATTCAAATAGCTCAACTCAATTATCAGTTTCTGTGATCCTCTTGCACAGCTATGGGAAAGTTGCCAAAATTGCATTTAAGTATAGATTCTGAGCTAAGCCCTGTGGGCTTATTTCAATGGTTTTTTTGGGAAGGTTTGGAATGGTTTCTTCAAACCCTATCAAACTCAAATTCTTTTTGACAAAAATAAGATTCAACATTGAATTTGATTCATACTCATTATTGATATGTAATACATATACATATAAAATCTACAGATATATTATAATTATTAACAACTATTTGTCCTATAAATGATTATTTTACTTTTAATCAATCTAATTCATAGCCATGTTAAATGGTACAATTGTCTTTTGTATTTTTAATATCTTAACTCATCTTCTCAAATTTACCCCCTAAGTTTAACGAAATCAATGGTCATAGATTTAATATTCGGGTCAGCTACGGGCCGAATTTGGAACTTAATATTAAATTTTCAACCAAAACATGAAATTTAGGGATCCTTTAAAAAAATTTCCCCCAACCTATCTTGTCAAGCCCCATTCCTCACCAAACATCCCCTTAAACCTTAAGGAGATTAACCTGTTTCTTATGGCATATATGCTTGATGAGCTGCATCACTGTGTTAGTATCCTTAAATTCATCGTCTGTTAATGTGCACACTAGCTGTTAACATCTATTCATCGTATCCTGATATGCATGTTGGGTAGGCCTATACGTAGAAGCCTCGATCTGGTGTTTTATAGCTGCAGAATGTGCTGGCCAAACTCATTGATTACCATGTATAATGCTGCTGACTTTCGTACGGAGAATTTGAATTTTGTATAATGATATATAACTTAAATTTATAACTCAAATTTTTATTTTAAATCAAGGAAGATTATTGGATCAGTGAATCCAATCGCTACCATATTTTTTTGGTTTTTGAAAAATTGAAATAAAAAATATAAAAAAAAAAATCGGTAGATATATAAATCCAATTTCGACTCAAGTTTTCAAATCAGATTTAGATTGGATTTGAGTTTCCAGCTCATAGGCCTTTCTCCTTCTTGGCTAGAGTTTCTATTTTATTTATTTTTGGTTCCACAATTAGAGTATCTGGGCTAGCTCAATGCACTTTAATTAATCTCTTTTCAGTATGATTAAAAATAAGTTATTTACGTCGAGACTAAAATATTCATAAAAAAAAAAAAAACTTTCATGATCAAATCTTTAAGAGTTTTCAAGATTCAAAGTTAAAATATTTGAATTTACAACTTATTTCTATTACAACCTGAGCTAACTTGGGGTTCACTAGAGCTGCAGCATTCCGTAGGAATTTGGACCAAGAAAAGATGAGATTTTTCAAATTACAATTTTTTAAGATTAAATTAATCATAATTTTTTTGAGATGTAAATTACAACTGTAAAATGCATGATCAATCATAGATATCTGTGATCGATCATGATCTCCTTACTTTATTTTTTAAAGTTGTAATTTTACCATGTAAAAGTGTAATCAACAATTCTTATCCTAAAAAAATTTTAGCACCATAGAATTTTCAAAAAAAAGGCAGCATGTACTTCTTTTTATTTTTTTTTTTTGGTACACAAGACTGAATTTACTTCAACAGCAAGGAATCCTGACTTATGGAACGGATGATTGTACCACTAATATCAAAATGGGATTGGTCTACATTACCACAAGAAATGCCTTATTATGCCAAAAGTTATTTTTTTTAATGCTTAATTTATATTTTTTAAAGGTAAAAATTACAATTGATTAAATTTATTCATGATCGGCCATGAAATATTGTGACTGATCATGAATAATATCAATTAGTTATGATTTCAACTTTTAAAAATTAAAATTTTTATGATTAATTATAATATTTTGTAATTGATTGTGCATTTTAAAATTATAATTAATACCCTAAAAAAATTATAATTTGATTTTAACAAATTATAACTTTCGGTAGCATGCTACTCGGCCTCGAGTCAACCGGTGATTGGATCCTGAATTGTTTCCCATTCTCTATATTCTTCCAATAAAAACTATTCAACCAAACTTTAGTCTTGAAATTATTGTAGATGTTAACACAAGAAGTAGTTCAAGCCAAGAAGTATTCTTCATAAGTACCCAGATGACTTGTCTTTGACCGAACTGAAGAGGTGATTAATTAAAGTATGCGTAAGTTGACTCGGGTATTCTTGATCATTAATCCAAAAAAAGAAAAAAAAATTACTGTAGATGTTTTTTTTGTTTTTGGCGTAGTGAATAAGTCCCTCTCCCCTATGAAAAGATCGCCCTTATGTCATGGTCAGTAGGTTTTTGTATTATCATTAGGGGCCACCTACAAATAGCAACCACGACGCAGACTAGTGTGAGAAGAGGCCAAGCTTCAAATTGATTAGCAGGCCAGTCTCACCATCAAATTCCCTATCTTTCTTAGCATTTTCTTGCAATTTGTAGATAAAAGGTAAGCATTACATTATCTTATCAAAACTTTGATGTTGCATGCCCTAGACTTTCAAGAAAGACTGAATTTTATTTGACTTTTAAACAACCATCTATTCTAATGTGTCTGATCACGTACAGACTAAATTTTAGGTCTAGCACATAAAAATATTTTTAAAAGTTAGGGTATCGGCGAGATTTGAACACATGATTTCCTGTTCTGATACCATAATAAACAAACATCTACTCTAACAATTGTAACTTAAATATTTATATTTCAACATTAACCATACTTCCATTTTGTGGATTCATTTCCGAATGCAACTGAGCACTACCAACCTAAACGAGTTGGTTTAGTATTTGAGCAAGAAGTGAAGTGTAAACATACATCTTGTAAGTTCGAGCCGATTAGTTGCATAAAATTTGGATTTATCCGATACATGTGGTTAGTATATTATTATGTGTATCCCAAGTTTGTTTATCAGTCACGAGTCCAAAATTCATATACTTAAGAAAATTCCGTGTTACCAAACCAAAAAAACAAATCATTAGGATTTTCATACGCACCAAACTGTGTTCTATTCTGCTTGGTTTTATCTCTTGTTATATCCATGTTTGCGTTGGACCAGTGTGTGCTCCTTTGCGGGCACAATAGGAAAAAATAAACAACATAAAAGCTAATTATAATATTTTGACAACTTTCTGTTTAGTTTGGTGGTAATGGTGATTGTCCTCCAACCTATATCAAAAGTGGTAGGATTGCTGGTAATTTGAGAGAGAGAGAGTATCTCAGAAGGATAAGCAAAATTTTCATAGCATTGCTAATTATTTGCAGAATTTGTACAAACACCGGGCTTATTAATGAATTTGTGAACTTGAAGTTGGAGTTATTTGCCAAGCAAAGGAAACCTTGGTCCAGCAAAACTGGAGCTCTTAACGAACCTACCTTTCATTCTAGGCCTTTTCTCTGCATTCAATTTCCGCACCTCATACCTTATTTTCTTCGAAAACAATCTGGTTCGACGCTTCTCTCTATACCTTAGAACTCGGGCTTCTCTCCCCCTATCCGCCGTTGTATTGTGTCCGCTCATTATTCCTACATCTCCATAGGGATGATGAAATGCCCCACAAGCACCCTACAAATTTCACCATAAAACCATGTTAATCTCAATAGTCAATACAAGCCCCTTCTTGATAATGACATGTTAGTATTTGAATTCATCAATATTTCATGCACATCTCCGGCCACAGCGATCTAGTGTACGTGACCCTAATGGCATATCTAAGAGTAGCAAAGGCTCGGAAAGGGGGGTCAACTCACCACTAAGATTTGAGAAATTATTGACAATTATGTTTAATAAGGACTTTCACAATTACTGTACATAAATAGTACTAGACATCTCACCTATCCATCGCCAAAAATGTAGGTAAAAATTGGTACTTCTAGTAAAAAGATACTATTTTAATGCTGTCACTCTTGTTTGTAAGTTGTATCCCTAACGCTATATGCTTATATCCACCACAACCTAATATATATTTCACTTTGTATTTTGTTCGTTTCATAGTTAATTTGGTTGCGACTCCTTGTTTTTTTCTTTCAAATTTGAATTTTTCAAGTAAAACTATGTGTTCTTGTGCATGATTTTTTGTATGTTTGTCTTTTCTTTTGTTATTGCATATCGGATTCTTGGTTAAAGAAGTTAATTCCTAACAATTTCATCTCTCAAACATTTATTCTGTCTCACATATGTTCTTCTTACAAATTAGCCAAGAGTGGGAATTTTGAAGTATGAGTTGGATATATAGTGTATGAGTTCCGATTGATTTGCATGTTTAATAGTCTCTCTTTCAGGGAATGACTAACGAAGTGTCATGCATTAACTAATGAACAATATGTAAGCGACCCCAAAATAAGACCTACCATGAACTCAGGCCAATAGCCAATATGGTCCAATTCCGGCCGTTCACCGGTGGTCCACGGAGACCTTTGGTCGGCCCAGGCTGTGATTACACCCTCATAATCAAGCCTCAATAAAATCTTCTTCTTGGTCATGTCACCCACTTCACAATCTTCATCATTCTTCACAGTGGTCCCTTCAGCTCCGACCTTATCGTCGAATTCCTCGTATGTCGCCGGAGAATTGAAGTCGAAATTCAGCTCAAATGGTTCTCGTGCCATGTCAATCTCCAAATCAACTTGGTTAGCCATAGCAACTTCAGCTTCTTCTTCATCTTCAACCTTCACTTTTCCACTTGAAGAGCCCTCCATTGAGTCCTTCTCTCGGCAATCCGAAAGCCCTAGCCCTTTCATATCAAATGATTCGTCTTCCAGACCTTTTCCCAGTAAGCTTTCAACATCAGCTGCAAACTCTGCAAGTTCCATTTCAGAAGGAAGAAACCCATTAAAACCATTCAAATCATGAGGTCCACAATCATGTAACATAGCTTTGGATTCATCCCCAACAACACCTTTAGCCTCTGAATCATTGTTAACTCTCGTTCCCACTTCATTTTGATTCGCAGAAGTGCATAGTTCTGCAACAAATGGATCGAAAATTGGAACCCTATAAATAAGCTGCTCGTCACTTTCTTCATGTGAATTCTCATCACTGCCTAGCTCCGGCACTAAATGAAGTGGGTATCGTATTAGCTCTTCGGTTTTTGGTTTCCTCGATCCATGTCGGGGCGTTCGAGCTTTTCTGGTGAACCCACGGTGCCATGATGGTGAAGAAGAATTCTCTATTGGAGCTTCCTCCGAGGGTTTGATCGATGCCGTCTTGAGACGAACCCTTTCGTGTCTACGAGCCAAAGAGTTCGCCGAGTGCACAGAAGCATCACAAGTTTGGCATAAGAAAGCATCATCGGCGGCACAGTACCACCGAGCTCGCTTTCTTATGCAACTATCACAGGCTCTAGCCGTTTTGCCACCAACAGCGTTTGCCAGTTTTTTTTCTGAAACCATTGACAAAATCGCTGTATTTTGATCGAAAACTTAAAGACTTTTCAAATCTAGCAAGGGAAGATCTGATCAGAATGGGAAGTTTTGGGTTTGTTCTACAGGTAGAGAGCTCGAAAATGGTACAATTATTTGTGTACTGGGGTATGTGACCCACAGACCAAACTGCTACAGTCTAATTTAGAGCTCGAGACTCTTCTTTTATGGACTTTTGGGACTTGGTCTACAGAGCTGGGTTGCGCTTTTGGGACCAGTGTTAGGCCCTATGGCCCTTATCTTTTCTCTAATTGGCTGAGCTTGGAAAGTTCATCCTGATGTCTGTTTTGTGATTGGTTATGTTTTGAAATCAAGGGATTTCTAGTGGGCCCTACTGCTAAGGATGAGAATGAGTTTCTGATTGAAAACTTGCCTGTCCTTTCACTGTCAATTTCTTCCCCCACTAAATTTGAAGGAGACCTTTTTGTTGGATTGCCTCCTTTTCCTACTATTGATCTCTTTTGAGATAAAATTGTTAAAATACAAAATAATTCGTTAATATTACGTTAATAAGATACAAAATTAGAGAGATTTGGTATTTATTTTAAATATTACTACGTGCACTAAAAATATACACAAAAACTTACATCAAATCTCTTGTAGCCGTTAAATCAGTGAGTGTCATCAATAATCCAACGAACTACAGTTAATTTACTATAAATTTTGTTACATAAATTTTATGCATGAGCGGAGCAACATGGGGATCAAGCACTTCCCCCCTCACTTTTGGACGGATCAAGCACTTCCCCCTCACTTTTGGACCACCTTAAATGAAAACCCATAAAATTATTTTATATATTATATTTGTTCCCCTAAATTTTTGAAAATTTTAATGGTTCTAGTCTTTTTTTTTTTCAATAAATTAGCGGACCACTATCCCTTTAAAATAAATATGTAAGTTTTGAATTGAGTTAATGATCTATTTGTATATTGACAAATATACAATATTTCTATTTATGTAACACAATATTCGTTATTTTTTAAGAACAATTTTTAATTCTCATTTACCATTTTTTAAGTAATAATAGTCTATAACCTAATAAAATACGATTGTATACAAAAGACAAAAGATTGTAACCCAAAAATATTTCAAACTATTTCGGATAGAAAATTTCTCTATAAGATGATAATGATCTCAACCAAATTTTGCAACTAAATAAAAAATAAATTTACTAGGACTTGTGATTGTGCGCATTGATAGAAAATTAGTGAAAAATTAATTTACATTTAATTCATATACAAAATTGTAGAGATTTTAAATTTTTTTATATTTTATTGACATATATAACTAGGTTAAAAATGTACTAAATTTTTTTTTTTTGTGTCTTTTTGTTAATATTTTGTTTTGACTAAATAAAAATTGAATTTACTATTTCACAATAATTTTATTTTGATTCTTATTTTTTTGTCATTCTTGAACTGAATTTTTTTGTATCAATTTCAACTAAATTTTTTTTATACCAATTATATTTTGCCCCCCTTAGACACTCATGGCTTCTCCCCTGACAATATATATATTTTTTTGGCATTTTTTATGTTAAATGAACTTCATGTATCAAATATAATATAATAAATATAAATATATTATATAGTGTTATTGGTAAATAGGAAAAAATTAGAGTACATAATTAAAGTGTCCACTCTGACCAAAATTTATGGCTCCGTCCTTGTTCATAAGCCATCCTTTTCATAAACTAGTAGACCTAACACGACATTATTAATAAATAAATTTGGTATAAGTGAAATCAATCAAAATAAATAAATTATACGAATCCGATATGACACGATTTATTAGACACAAATTAATAAAAAAATTGGTATGGGTGGAATATTTTTTACATGAACTCGTTAAAACTCAACACAAACCCGTTTCGCCCGATACAAGCCTACCTTAAAGTTTAGAAATCTTGTTGCGGTCCCCTGCTCTCTGTCCCCTCTTTTAATTTCTTCCGATTTTGAGATCTTTCATAAGCACTAATATCTCTCCATGTAAAGCAAGCATCAAACGTTTCAAAAAAAAATCCTCCTGTTGATGTGGCAACATGAAGGCTACACCATGTCGTTCTTTGAGAACTAGATTTTTCCGCATGATAAGTATCTACTTGAGCTGTCACATGCCAGGATTTTAAGTTGTTCAAAATGCTACCAGGAAGAAAAATCTCTAATATGGTTCCCTATGGAAGCCAGCAAGTTAGGAAGCTATCGCAGATTCACAGGGCAACATGATAATGATGTTTCTTCAATTACTAAGAAAATAATGGCAATGTGGTGTTGATGCAAGGCAAACTAAGGGTGGCATGGAAATTTCGTATGGTTTATTGTTGTTACTAGCAGTGCTTATTGACTTATTGAGGACTAGGAGAGTGGGAAGAACAAACTTTTTTTGCATTTTCTTATTGCACGATGGACAAATATTTTTATATTAGCCCACTCCATCCTTCCCATTGCTAGGAAGATCCCAAGCTCGATCTAGTTTAGTATCAATGTAATTATGTTTTTGTCAATATATATATATGGGCCTATGCAGCATTTCCACGATAGTGTTGTGTCCAATTAATGAGATTTAGCTGGAAAGTGTTCTTGCCTCTATCATTAGCTCAACTAGTCACCATTTTGGTGTTTCGGTCACTTTTTAATAAATCTCTTAATTATGGTTGAGGAATTGCCTACCATATAAGTAAGGGAAAGAGGGTTACTTTCGGAAAGTCCCCCTCTGATTGGTTTACTAGTCGGTGGGGCTAAAAAAATTTCTTGGTTGTTTTTAGCGACATATATTTATTGAACAATGTTATATGGACTTAAAAAATAGACTTAAAAAT